AGAATCAAACCAAAAACAATCAACCAACCAACCAGAAAAAAACTCAAATGCAAAAACTCAACTTTGAAAAGAGCCCATAAAAGCGTAGACTGAAGTTCAACCTTTTGGCCGGTGGACTAGATGATCATTGCAAGTCCCTTCCAACTGGAACTAATCTAGTCTAGTCTACATGACACCAGACATGCTGGCAACAGACAGGGTACACCTATGTCAAAGAGGGAAAAGGATCTTTGCACAGGAATTAGCAGGGCTCATTGAAAGAGCTTTAAATGAGATTTGAAAGGGAAAGGGATAAAACGAGGCTCACTAGAGATAAGCCTGGAGGTGGCATTCCAATATTTGAGGCACAGTCTGCTAGCAAGGTCCTTTGGTCTGCTCCACGATGTGCTGAGTACACTGGAGCACATTTGAAATGTCCCTGTACTAATGTGACAGCACCCTAGCCATCTCAGTGGAAGTAGGGGATAGAGGTCCACATGGCAGCAAAGATGAAGAGTTGTTGATGTCTTATAAACCACAGAAGCAACTGAGAACAGCCACATAGGAATTAGGGCTTCTCCGCCCAAAAAGGTGGGAGATCAATAGCGCAACTGAAGTGCATCTACAACAGTGCACGCAGCTTGAGCAACAAACAACAGGAGTTGGAAGCCATTGGGCAATTGGAAAACTATGATGTAATTGCAATCATGGAAACATGGTGGGATGACTCACACAGCTGGACTGTTGCAATGGAGGGCTATAAACTCTCCAGAAGCAATAGGCAAGGAAGGAGAGGTGGTGGAGTAGCCCTGTGTGTTAGGGAGTGTTTGCCTAGAGCTTGATGATGGTGATGAAAGGGTCAAATGTTTATGGGTAGCAGCCAGGGGAAAGGCCAACAAGGCAGATATCGTCGTGGGAGTCTGTTATAGGCAATCCAACCAGGATGCAGAAGAAGTACTCTGTAAGCATCTGGGAGGAGTCTCATGACCACTAACCCTTTCTTTCATACAGGCCTTCAAGTTAGCAGATGTCTGCCAGAAATAAAATACATCAGAGAGGACACGGTCTAGGAGATTCCTGGAGTGTGTGGAAGAGAACTTTCTGACACAGCTGGTGAGGGAGCCAACTAGGGAAGCTGCCCTGCTGGACCTGTTGTTTGAAAAGACAGAAGGAATTGAGGGTGATGTGATGGTTGGAGGCCCTCTTGGGCACAGCAATTGTAAAATGATAAGTTTTCAATTCTCAGAGAAGTAAGGAGGGGAGTCAGCAGAACTGCTACTTTAGACTTCTGGAGGGCAGACTTTGACCTGTTTAGGTGCCTGGTTGACAGAGTACCTTGGGAGGCAGTCCTGAAGGGCAAAGCAGTCCAGGAAGGCTGGGCGTTCTTCAAGAAGGAAATCTTAAAAATGCAGGAGCAGGCCAACCCTGTGTGCCAAAAGGTATGCAGGTGAGGAAGACCTGCCTGGCTGAAGAGAGAGCTTTGGCTGGAACTCAGGAAAAAAAGTAGAGTTTATGACCTTTGGAAGAAGGAGCAGGGAACTCAGGAGGACTATAAGGATGTTGTGAGGTTATGCAGGGGGAAAATCAGAAGGGTCAAAGCCCAGCTAAAACTTAATCTGGCTACTGCCATAAAAAAAAAACCAACAAAAATGATAAAAAAGTTCATCTAAATACATTAACAACAAAACGAGGGGTAAGGAGAATCTCCATCCTTTATTGGATGCAGTGGGAAACATAGTGACAAAGGTAGAGCAAAAGGCTGAGGTGCTTAATGCCGCCTTTGCCTCACTGTTTCATAGTAAGCCCAGTTGTTCTCAGGGTACCCAGCTCTGTGAGCTGAAAGACAGGGACAGAGAGCAGAATGAAACTCCCATAATCCAAGGGAAAATGATTAGCGACCTGCTACATCACTTAGACACATACGTCTATGGGGCTAGATGGGATCTACTCAAGGGTACTGAGGGAGCTGATGAAAGTGCTTATCAAGCCACTTTCAACCATTCATTAGCGGTCCTGGGAAACCAGGGAGGTCCCAGTTGACTGGCGGTTAGGAAAAATGATGCTAATATACAAAAAAGGCTGGACGAGGATCCAAGGAACTACAGGCCTGTCAGCCTGACCTGGGTGCCAGGGAAGGCTATGGAGATAATCTTGAGTGCCATCACACAGCACATACAGGATAACCAGGTGATCAGACCCAGTCAGTATGGGTTTATGAAAGGCAAGTCGTCCTTCACTAACCTGATCTCCTTCTATGACAAGGTGAACCACTTAGTAGATGAAGGAAAGGGTGTGAATGTTGTTTACCTGTACTTTAGCAAAGCCTTTGACACCATTTGCTACAGCATTCTCCTGGAGAAACTGACTGCTTATGGCTTGGAAGCGTGTCACCTTCACTGGGTAAAAAATTGTCTGGATGGCTGAGCCCAAAGAGTTGTGGTGAATGGAATTAAATGCAGTTGGCAGCTGGTCACAAGTGGTGTCCCCAGGGTTCAGTATCAAGGCTAGTTCTGTTTCATACCTTTATCAATGACCTGGATGAGGGGATTGAGTGCATTCTCAGTAAGTCTGCAGATGACACCAAGTTGGGCAGGAGTGTTGATCTATTTGACGGTAGAAAGGCTCTCCAGAGGGATCTGAACAGACTGGACCAATGGGCTGAAGCCAATTTTATGAGATTCAACAAGGCTAAGTGCTGGGTCTTGCACTTGGGAAAGCTGCCCAGCTAAAAAGGACCTCAGGGTATTGGTCGACGGCCAACTGAATATAAGCCGGCAGTGTGCCCAAGTGGTCAAGAAGGTCAATGGCACCCTGGCCTGTATCAGAAACAATGTGGCCAGCAGGACTAGGGAAGTGATCATCCCTTTGTACTCTGCGCTGGTGAGGCTGCACCTCGAGTACTGTGTTCAGTTTTGGGCCCCTCACTACAAGAAAGACATCTAGGTGCTGGAGCGTGTCCAGGGAAGAGCAACAAAACTGGCTAAGGGCCTAGAGCCCAAGTCTTATGAGGAGCAGCTGACAGAACTGGGGTTGTTCAGTCTGGAGAAAAGGAGGCTTGGGGAGACCCTATCACTCTCTACAATTACCTGAAAGGAGATTGTAGTGTGGTGACTGTGTCAAGGCCGGATCAGCAGTGCCTTGGTTAAATTGTTCGATCCCTGGGACAGAAATTAAGACACAAATGAGGTCAAGTGTCAGCTCCAAGCTAGGTACACTTTTATTTTCTCAATGAGGATATATGCGATAGGAGGAAGAGAGAGAGAGAGAAAGAAGCAGCGAGTGATCGAGATAGATTAGCAAGAAACAGTCACCACCCTGGATCCAGCGTTGCTTCTACTGCTCAGCCAGTCATCGGTGGTGGGTACGTATGCCCTCCAAAGAGTTCGGCTTTCTTTTATATCTTCTTCTTGTCTCTTTCTCGATAGTCCTCTGTTGTTTCTCGGAAGATATTTACTTCTTGGATGATGCCCATGCAGGAACATAGCGTATGCGCAGTACAACTGTTGTGGTTGTCTTCACGACAGAGCCCCCCCGCAAGGAGCCCCAGCCCGAAGTCGACCTCCGCATTCAGTGCAGATGTACTCTTTGTGAATATGTCAGATGTTCTCACTGTTAGCATCGTCCCTACTGTAGGTGATTTCTATCCCGGATGCCTTAACCACATTTGCCTAGGCTTTGAGGCAGTTAGCTAGCTCAGTCCTCCTCCACAGGGCCGGAAACGGCTGTCTCGTTTGTGGTATCAGAATCCAAAAGGGTACAGAGAGACTGTTTTTTCCTTTGTGCAGTCGCTGGCAGCAAAACCGCAGGAGGAAGTTTTGTACACTTTATGTACCAAGAAATGTTTAAGGCAGAATGGTCACTCCTGTCTGTCACACCACCTCGTGACTTAAACATTGCTTAGTTCATCCATGGTGGTGATGAAGAGACAGATAAAAGAAATAGAGGGAAGAAGAAGAAGAGAGAGAGGGGGGCAAAGAGCGAGCGGGGTAAAAAAAGTGATTACGTGCTTTCAATAAAGCAAAACAATCCATACAGTGCTTTGGTTGGTTATACAAAGGCTATATAAAATTCATGCATGGTTAAAAGGTATACACGTTTCACCACCTTCAAAGAAGACCTCAAATAGGAAAATTCACCTAGACCACAATAGAACCATAAGACAGGAAAAATTCACGATGAAGGTACACAAATTCAAATCACGCATGGGCCATCCAGCCTCTCTGGGGGAAGGATCTGGAATCTGTGCATGTGTACCCTCAATTTTGACAGATCGGAACTGCGAGGCCACCTTCTTTGGCATCCACCACAAGACAACAGCTACTTATGTCCATCCCATTGGTACACAGTTGGGAACCACAGGCACTACATTGGAAGGTAAGTGTCTTTCCTTCCGTGAATGTCATTGTGGATAGTTACTTTTTCTCCTTTGCTTCTCCGGAGGGAGAGCATGGAGACATCAGTCACAATGGGGGACTCTAAGATGGAAATTATTTGTTTTTTCTTTAGGAGAAGATGAATCCAAAAGAAGAGGTCTGCTCAGAGAAGGGGGGGAGCGGAGGCAAAGAAAAGTTAAAAATGTCGCCAAAACGAGGAAAGTTGCCAGTTTTACCCTGGACTGGTCATTGTGATTGGTTTGACACAACTAAGGGATATGGATTCATTTATATGACCTATCAAGAGGGGGATTCTTTAGAGAGTCCAGTAGGTGTCTTTGTACACCATTCTAAGCTTCACATGAAAGGATTTAAAAGTTTGCAAACAGGGGAGCAGGTAGAATTTACCTTTTACAACTTTCCCAAAGGCCCAAAAGAGCTTTGGGTCACAGACCCTGGTGGAAAACCCTGTGAGGGGAAGAAAAAATTAAAGGGGGACAGATGTTATAACTGTGGTGATGCCGACCACCACGCAAAGGAGTACAAACGTTTGCTGCAACGCAAAAGGTGTTACTATTGTCAGAGCCTCGACCACATAATGATTAGTTGTCCTGACAGATCAAAATAGAAAAGAGAAATATTGTTATTATCACTAGTTGTGCATATGTTGTGGTTAAAGTTTAAATTGTTCATACTGTTAGGGTTATTGTGTGTTCTTGTTCTTAAAAATAAAGATCTCTTTTGTCAATTTATGTTTTGACTATTCTATATTTACACAATTCTGACCAGGGTTGGTTTTGGCTGATAAACAGCACAGAGGTGCTAGACACCTTATGGCAATGAAGCAGTTACAAAATGCATGTTGGCTATTACACACTGAATCAACTGTATTAAGCAAGGGATAACACAAGGCGAAAACAATAGAGTAGCAAGCCCACATAGTAAATAAAACAAAATTCGTTTAACCCATGGAATTCCGGGAAGTCAGGAAAAGGGATCAAACTCCCAGTCTTCCATGTTTGGACTGGAATGTGACCCAGTTTCCTGATTCTGGAAGTTATTTGCTTAACAACTTGGCCATTATCCTCAATCTTCAAACAAATACTTGAATCATTGAACTTTCCACACACACCTCCTTCTTCAGCTAGTAGGTAGTCGAGAACCATGTGCTGTTGCAAAATTGCTGTTAGCATTTGAATGGCCTGATCTGCCAATAGATCTAGCGCACGGGTGGTTTCACTGGTAACAATTTCTAAAACTGCTTGTAACCTAATAATACAATTCAAATTGTAAATGGGTTCTCGAGTACCACCAATTGGTTCACTGGGATTCCAGGTGGCAGGCCCATAATGTTGGATAACTCGTTGTGGGGGCCAGTCATCTTTTCCCCACGTTTGGCTACTACCACCCGCTATAGCAGTGTTAATAGATCGCTTGTTTCACACAGGATCATCATACAACTTGACACCCAAAACTTGGTCATCATTTCCGGGGAGCAGGAAAAACAATAGACGGGTCACTCCTACACAACACACTCCTGTCCAATTTACTGGCAATGATTTGTATGTATTCTGCCCACACACCCAGCAGTGACCTTTCAAAGCTCGATGTCCATTTTTAAATGGACCAGACCAGGTTTTGGCAGGATTGTTGCCTTTTGATTGAAAATAAATTGATTTTAGTCCAAAGGGATCACCATTTAGATTACAATAGATTTCACCCATTTCTTTCCGACACTATTTACAACGCCAGGCACCTGAAGGGCTATGCCGAGTACAATTACTTCCTCTTTTGTCTCCAAAGATAGTAGTGTTGGTTGAAGACCAAAAATGTGAAAACCCCTGTCCTAGTAAGGACTGATTATACCATCCCCATTGGACCAAATGGTCCTAGTTAACACTACGATAGGTCCAGGTACAATTACTTATTCCAAGAAATTTTCCTTTCACAGGCTGGATTCGACTTAAACAATATTGTCCTTCAGCAGGGTATCGAATTGGCCATGGAGGAGATATTTCATCTTCCCAATAGGTGTTATTTTTCACTTCACTGTAACTGCTTACTAGCCATTCAGGAGGAACTGGGACTGAGGTCCACGGCCAGCTTTCCAGACCAAGTGGTCCTCCACACATCCAACAATTAGTAAGATTAAGCGTATGGGCCACAGAGTAACCTAGGGTCACAAACTCATTTTCTCATTCTCGGTTAACACTTAGAGAGTTGCCGTCTCCCCACAGACTAAAGGCAAAGAAAATGGTCGCCCAAACAAATTCCTTTCATAATAAGCGATACATCCTAAACATATCAATAGAGCAATAAGGTACACTTTATGTACCAAGAAATGTTTAAGGCAGAATGGTCACTCCTGTCTGTTACAGAGTGTCAGTCTCTTTTCCCAAGTAACAAGTGATAGGAAGAGAGGAAATGGCCTCCAGTTGCACTAAGGGAGGTTTATATTGGATATTAGGAAAAATTCCTTCACTGAAAACGTTATCAAGCACTGCAACAGGCGGCCCAGGGAGGCTGTAGAATCATCATCCCTGAAGGTATTTAAAAGATGTGTAGACAAGGCACTTAGGGACATGGTGTAGTGGTGGATTTGGCAATGTTAGGTTAACAGTTGGACTTGATGATCTTAAAGATCTTTTCCAATCTAAATGATTATATGATTCTATTCTAGTCTATTGTGCCGCAAGATGAGCTGATGGGGACAAAGACCGGCCTAGTTGAACAGGGAACTCTGGTTGGAACTCAGGAAGAAGAAGAAAGTTTACCAGCTTTGGAAGGAAGGACAGGCAACCCAGGAAGAATACAAAGATATTGTCAAGGCTTGCAGAGAGAAAATTAGAAAGGCAAAAGCTCAACTAGAAGTCACTCTGGTCACAGTCGTAAAAGACAACAAAAAATGTTTTAACAAATATGTTAACAACAAAAGGAGGACCAAAGAGAATCTCCCCCCTTTACTAGATGAAGAGGGGAATGTTGCCAGCAAGGATGAGGAAAAGGCAGAGGTACTTAATGCCTTCTTTGCCTCAGACTTCAATAGCCAGACCAGTTATCCTCGAGGCAGCCAATCCTGAGAGCTGGATTATAGGGGTGGGGAACAAAAAAATCCCCCCGTTATCCAGGAGGAAGTAGTTAGTGACCTGCTACTCCACCTAGACACGAACAAGTCTATGAGGTCGGATGGGATTCACTCAAGGATACTGAAGGGTGTGTTGCCCACCCCACTGTGCATCATCTACCAGCAGTCCTGGCTAACTGGGGAGGTCCAAGACTACTGGAGGCTAGCCAATGTGACACCCTTCTACAAGAAGAACTGGAAGGAGGATCTGGGGAGCTACAGGC